GTATAATGATGTGATTGTGATGCTGTAATTCTGAGTGTTTATGTGCTGCAGAACAGGAGCCTGCTGTAAAACAGCAATTATGCTGAGTCAGGCTTGATTTTTAGTAATCTTTTCCTGTTGAATCAATAAATTAAAATCAAATCAATAATATACACCATGTAGAAGGATGCAGGCCACCATTAAAACAAAAACACATGCATTAAATTATTATTTAGGCAAACTTGGATGTGCAGCCAATAAGGATGTTTTATATTCCACATTTAATGAATCATAGATAGGTCCGGTTCCAGATTATATGTAGATTATATGTTTATTATCCAGCCCCACTGCTCATAATGCTGTTAATTTGATCACTGTATACCAGGATTTTCTCTGGCAATTCATTTTTGATATTGAGAGCTGCTATAATAATTAATACATTATATTTATAGTGAAATTGTTGCACATTATAACCTTACCTCTATTTGTTATCTCCAGATTGCTTTTTAGGCACTAATCCTAACATTTGAGCAGCGTAAAAGTTCTGGACAAGCTTGTCTTTTTTCTGATTAGACACTGGTCCTCATGAACCAAAAGAAACGCTTTAAGCTGCACAAGGTTTGATTCCTGTCCACCATCGTCAGTAATGATGGACACTGTGCGGCGCTAAACAAAATCCATGAAAAGGTCCATTCAGTTATGAGAACAGCCCTAAATGTCTTTCTTAATTTCACTTTTTGTTTGCATATTTTATTGTAGGTCAGTTTAATTTTAATCTATTATTCCCACTCATTCTTCTTATTATTATCTTTTTCTTTTTAGTTTCGGGTTAAAGTCAATGAGACACCATAAAAAAGTTGTTGCAGAAAAGCCAGTCGCAACTATCAAACTGAATAATGTGGAATAAAAATGTTGGAGGTACATCTGTGTACGACTACTGTTTATGTTGAAAATTTGAATTTGATGCAGCTTATGAGAGCTTGATTTGACTTCTGAGACTAAAAACATAAAAATCATGGAGTTAAAATAAAAATCGAGGGTTAATGTGATTCAGTGACATCATGCATATCTCCTGGTTTGTGTTAAATGTGGTGCACAAAGTGTGTTTCAGCTGATTTTAATTATAAAGTTCTGTTCTAGTGCTCCACGGGATCATCGCCTCGGCATCATCCCAGGCATCTTTATGGAGAAAAAAAAAAACAAGAGTACGAGGAGTCAAGAAAACAATAAATTGCTGAGTTTCTGTTGTGTTTTTTCCGCAGGTTATATCGGCGGGGCAGGAAACTACCAGGGCGCCAGCCTTGGAGCTGGAGGCTACGGGGCAGGTGATGTTTCGGCGTCATTAAAAGACGATGCTCTGCTGTAGATGAAAACCACACCTGGTGAAGTTTCCCTTTGTTTCGCTCACAGGTCTTGGACAGGGAGCCTACCTGGGAGGTGTAGCAGGAAAACTCGGTGGTTAGTCTTCAGATTTTCCTCCTTTGTTTTAGAAATGATGCTGAGTTTAGTGTTTTTAATGATGCGTATGAACATCTCTGTGTAAATGTAAACTTTAGCTGCTGCTGCCCTCGGACAGGGTGGGTATCCCCAGGCTGTTCCAGAGAAATCACTAGGTGAGCTTGTTTTTTTTTTTCCCCTTATTGCTTTTAACTTTTGTTGCTTGCCTTTTAAAAATGTTACATTTCTGTTAAAACTTTGGAAACAAGTTTCTTAGAAACGTCTCTGAGATACACTTAAAGAAATAATATTCAGATTGTACACTCAGACGCTCCCTCTGCTTTGCCTTGTAAACTCATCATTTACCTACAGATCAACAAGCTGAGTCAAAGTCTCTCTTCATCTTTGTTTAAAGGTTAAAGCAGAAGCTTTATTTCTTCTTGTGGTGAATAAGAATAACACTTTTAAATAAGTGAACACACAAATTGTACAAACAGAGACTGAAACGCTCTTTTCTAACCTGTGGGTACAGAAAAATAGTTTCTTTTGATATGAATGAAGTCTCATGTCAAAAAGAAAATGAAGTTTTTCTCAAACTAAACAGTCTTTGTTACAAAATGTTTGAATCACAGGTTATGGTGATGGAGCCACAGGATACCTTGGTGCCATGGCAGGTAACGGCTTTGGTAAGTAAACAATATAAAAACACAAAAATACAAATTTTGATTCATGGAGAACAGGAGATATTTTCTGCCTGAACTCAAAAAGTTAAAATCATCTCTGCTGCCACTGATGTTCAACTCAAACAGGCTTCATTTTGAGGGACTTTGTTCTGTTTCCTCTGCAGGTGCAGATGCAGGTGCAAAAACTTTGTCTGAAGGTTTCTGACATGCGAGCACAAAACTCTGATATTTTTTAGTCTTTGAAATGTTTCAGCATGACGGCTCTTATCTCAACAGGTTACGGGAATGGGTACCATGATGGATACGGAGCTGGTGAGTGCATCAAAAACAGGGGAAAAAAGAATTCAAGGTTGTTTTCTTGAATAGTAATCAGCTTAATGCTAACTAGACCTAATGCTAATGAGTAAAAGCTTTTTTTGCACAAATGTAGTGAGAATGCTGAGCGCTTAATAGCTGCTGAAACACAAAAATAGCAAAATGATAGCTAAAAAAGTTAACTTGTTTGTTAAAATACTAACTAAAATGTAGCAAAAATGTTAACCAAAATGCTAGATAGGAGCTAAAAGAAACAAAAAAATGTTCGAAGCTAAAAACTGCAAAATAGCTTGAAGGTAAAAGCAACAAAAACTTAGGTTAAGATCTAAATTAGCAAAAGTGTTACTAGAAGTATAAAGAAAAGAACAGTAGCTAAAATTAGTAAAATTCTAGTTAAAAGTACCCAGGAACTAGCTAAAAGTAGTAACATTCTAGCTAAAAGTACCCATAGACTAGCTAAAAGTAGCGAATTTCTAGTTAAAATTACACAGGTACTAGCTAAAAATAGTAAAATTCTATGTAAAAGTAGTAAAATTCTAGCTAAAAGCAAAAAGTTCTTCAATGATTTGGAAAATTTTAGGTAAGTGCTAAAAGAAACAAAAACTTAAAGGCATAAAAATAGCTTGAAAGTAAAAGTAGCAAACTGTTAGCTAAAAGCTAAAGTATCAAAAAGGTTACTTAATACTAGAAATAAACGAGCAGCAGCTAAAAGTACCAAAGGGCTAACAAAAAATAGCTAAATGCTAGGTACAAGTAGTAAACTTTTAGGAAAAGGAAGCAAAATGCTAGCTAAAGTCTATAAGAAACTAAAAAAATTCTAAAGGCAGCATAATGTTAACAAAATGTAAATCAGTAAAAATGATTATAGAAACAGATTGCGATAAACAGACAGAAAACAAGAGCTAGAGTTTGATTACCCTGCAGGGTTTAGCTGATGTTGCTGCTGACAGGGATTAATCTGTAAAAAAAAATGACATCTGAGGTCTCATATCCACTGGGTGTAGCTATTGTCTCTCCTTCATAATCAGTGACCTGTTTAACCTGAAACATTTGATTTGCATGTTTTTTTTTTCTGATGTTTCAGCTCTGAGCACAGGAGGCTATGCAGGACCGGTCCAGGGGGCGTACGGTAAGAACTGATAAAACTAGACATGGAAAATTTATAAAACTAACTCTGGAAACATAATTGAGCTTTTGGAGATCAATGCATGAAAACATTTTTCCTGATGAAACTTTCATCTCACTTATTCCTATATTCTTAACGCAGGACTGGACTCAACTGGTGGCAAATATGGTGAGTGATTCCCAAACGACCCTGTGAGTGTCTTTGAATGCACGACCCGAACCGTGCAGGTCAGGAGGTCAGAGGTCTTGTTTTCTTTCAGGAGCTGGAGCTGCACAGGTGCCATACGGGAACGCTCCGGTGATGCCTGCAGGATTGGAAGGTAGGAGCTGCGACACGCTTCATGAGAACCCACAACCTCTGAATCAGGCCTGAGCGAGCACAGATGACCAACTGCACCACAGTGATTCATTTATCTGTTTAATGAGGTTTTTAACTGCTGCCAGGAGACAGGAATAACTCATCGTTTTCATGTAAGAGCTGCTCGTTAACAGAGATGCAAAAGTTCTGGTTCACACCGTGCGAAAGCAACAAGTTTCCCCACCTCAAAGCTGTGAACTTCACAGCTTTCTGAGCTCATTTTGGGTCGTTGCACCGACTTCCTGTCGCTCACAGACAATTATTTTAAAATATTGTTACCAGTTTTGCAAAGCACCGAACACTCTGGGTCAAAAAAACAAATGTGCAGAAGCTGCTTATGCACCAAATTTACAAACAAAAGCCCCATAAAACTGCTGGGTAATGGTCCTGTCTGCTGCGGCTTTTGAAGGAACAAATTTATAATCCTGCATCTGTGATTTTTAATTTTCACCCTTCTCTATGCTTTTGCACTTTGAGCCGCMCCGTTGTTGAAATGTGCCATATGATTGTTGATGTTTCAGGTAACGGAGGCTACCCGTATTCTACCCAGCAACTCAGCCTCGGTGCTGAAGGAGGCAAAAGCGCCAGTAAATACGGTGAGATGATGTGACGATGTGTGATAATGCACTTTGTTTCTGTGCTGAATGGAAAAAAAGGTTGTTTCTGTGGGGTGTTGGTTTGGTTTTTCCTAACCAGACAGCATCACACTAAGGTCAAAAACAAAAGTCACACTTTTTTTTTAAATTAATGAGCTCTGTTGGTGGTTTCTTTGCTCAGTTTTTGCAGACAATATTTAAAACCTCTCTAAAAYGTTAAACTCTATGCTTTGGTTTTAGGAGCTGCTGCAGGATATGGAACTCGGCAAACAGGTAAATTCATTTGCAATCATGTCTGTTTGCAGACGTGATGYCGTTTTTCTTTCTTTCTCTGTGACGGGAAATAATAAAAATATTTGAGAACCACTGTCTTACAGTGAGAAAAGACAATGTTGTAGCTAATTTTTGGTTAAACTTTGAAGATAAAATTATAAACAACTCTTGCGTAATTTTGCAAGATCTTTCAATATTTGTTGTGCGTTAAATGACTCCGCTAATACCGCGCTAAGTTTTAGCTCAATATCTGTAAATTTACTGAAGTGTTTTTCGAATTGTCCAAGAGATATTTTGCTAACAGATAAACAGGAACGACTGCAACTTTTAATGCCAAGGTTTTGAGCAAACCTGTTGCACTCAAAATATATGTTCTATGGTRCAGTATGAGGACCAACATAAAGACTGTTGCACAACCAGTGGTTGCTGCATCCTTGTAGAAGGAGGCTATATCTATTCCTAATTCAGCTATGAAGCTGATTAATGACAGGTCTGTACCACTTACAGAGCAGCTGACCCTGCTAACTGAGAGGCCTGCACTGGCAAATGCGAAGACTGTTCATTTGTGTTAGCATCGGAAAGGCTAGCAACTAGTATGGATAATCTGGCGTTAGCATCGGAGAGGCTAGCAACTAGCATGATAGGCTGGTGTTGGCATCGGAGAGGCTAGCAACTAGCATGGATAAGTTGGCGTTAGCATCAGAGAGGCTAGCAACTAGCATGGAATAGTTGTTAGCATCAGAGAGGCTACCAACTAGCATGGATAGACTGGTGTTGGCATCAGAGAGGCTAGCAACTAGCATGGATGAGTTTGTGTTAGCATCGGAAAGGCTAGCAACTAGCATGGATAGTCTGGCGTTAGCATCGGAGAGGCTAGCAACTAGCATGGATAAGTTGGTGTTAGCATCATAGAGGCTAGCAACTAGCATGGATAAGTTGGTGTTAGCATCAGAGAGGCTAGCAACTTGCATGGATAAGTTGACGTTAGCAACTAGCATGGATAAGTTGTGTTAGCATCAGAGAGGCTAGCAGCTAGCATGGAATAGTTGTTAGCATCAGAGAGGCTACTAACTAGCATGAATAGGCTGGTGTTGGCATCAGAGAGGCTAGCAACTAGCATGGATAGACTGGTGTTGGCATCAGAGAGGCTAGCAACTAGCATGGATAAGTTGGCGTTAGCATCAGACAGGCTAGCAACTGGTATGGATAAGTTGGCGTTATCAACTAGCATGGATAAGTTGGCGTTAGCATCAGAGAGGCTAGCAACTAGCATGGAATAGTTGTTAGCGTCAGAGAGGCTACCAACTAGCATGATAGACTGGTGTTAGCATCAGAGAGGCTAGCAACTAGTATGGATATGCAATGAATAGTCTTCTCATCCACCAGCGCTGGTCTCTCAGTTAGCGGTGCCGGCTGTTCTGTTAGCAATACCGGCCYATCATTAWTCAGATCAATAGCTGGCTTAGATATAGCCTCCTGCTACAAGGATGTAGCAACCACTGGTTTCTCARTGGTCTTAAGTTTGGCCCTCATACCGCACCATAGTGTTAGAGATAACTCTCAGCTACTGATGTTCGCTCAACATYTGTAAAACTGACTGACTTTGGCGGCCATCTTGATTGGGATCGACTTGAAAGTTTGAATACCACGGAGTTTAAAATGAATAAAATCATTTCCTGGTTGGTCCTAAATGATGTTTTCTGTTTCTTTTTGTCTGTGAAGGATTTGGTGTGCAGCTTGGAGCGACTCAGGATGCCCTGGGTAAGAAACCGACATTTCCTCTTTCACGATCAACTCCAGCTCGCTCTGCTGCTGCTTCTGATGTGTTCGTTCGGTTGTGTCTTTAAACACCTGYGTCGTGTCACACGGCGCTGCGCAGTAGCTTTCATTTCTATTTATGAAGTGGTGTCAGAGTCTATGAGGCTCACGTRAACACTGTTCAAACATTAAAACTCCTCCCTCAGTAAAACCATAAGGGTTTAAAGTTTGTCAAAAAACAATAAACTCTTAACTATAAAATTTGTGCTTTGTCTGAAATTGACTTTATATTGCAGGAATCTGTCAAACTTTGTTTTTTATTTTTCAGATTTAAAGTGCCTGTGACATGCATATTCATGAAATACAAAACGTCAAAGAAAACATTTTTATATTTAATAAACTTGGTATAATACACAGGATTTTACACATTATGTCTCATAATTGACATATTTTCCTTTGAACTTTTCTCAGACAATGTGAAACAGGAAGTGACATCAAAGGGGAACTCTTCAAGAAATAAAACTGGTTTTTGTCCATTAAACAATATTGTTTGAATTCTGACTCTTCCTCATCTGTCTATTATAGTAATTAAAATAATCTAAAGAAACATCAGATTCCTCTCTACAGTCTGCATTGTCAGCCTTTGTACCAGTGCTGTTAACATTCAGACATTCCCCTTTGACATCACTTCCTGTTACTTCACATGTAAATATCTCAACAACTGTTCATCTCAGCTGCGTAAAATCTTTTTTTACAGTRTGTTGTCAATGTTACCTTTCCAAACATGCTTTCATATTTATTACAAACRTTTGATGTCACAGGCACTTTAAATCTGAGTTGTTTTACTTTCACAGGCGAGCAGACTGGGAAATATGATGGCGTGAATGCTGCCCTCGGAAACGGGTTCAAAGGTCAGAATRACGGACGCTGATCCAACTAAAACCTTAAATAATTAAAGACTTAGAATTCCTTGAAAGAATGCATATCGCCCGCCATTGTTAATGACGTGTTTTAGACTGAAATTATCCCATGATGAGGACAGAATATTGCAGCTTGTGTTGAGGAAGTCTCGGCTACAACCTCGTCAAGCTTTAGCTCATTATCTGCATGTTTAACAGAGTTAGAGACATTTTTGTGTTAATCATCTTGAATTGACGTGGTTCCAAAACATCTCGACTCCAGAAGTTATCAGCTGCAGACATTCATCTAGTTATTACTTTGGGAGAGTTTTGTTAAAATCTGTCCAGTAGTTTATAAKATATTTTGCTAACAGAKAACTTAGAATGATAACTTTCTAACGCTGTCCTTCATGTGTCTGTTCTTCACCAGGTTAATCAGGGTGAYGTGGACCTTTTTGGGTGGATCGTCTCCTGTTATATTTGCAGTGTAAATCATTTTACCTGCTTGTTTTTCAGTGTGTTTTATGCTTTTGTTGTGTTTGTATTTTTTTAAACACCTGTATTTCTCACAAAACGAGTTGAAACTGGAGACTAGCATTGAACAGAAAATAAACGTGTTGTCAGTTTTAAACCAATAAATTATCATGTCCTGTGATGTTCAATAAAAGCTTCTGAGTCAAAACGAATGCCTCGACGCGTGTTCTCTTCAAGGACGAAACAAAACCTCATCCGTTCACAGGAAGCTTCGCCACTTCCTTTAAACAACTGGCAACGCAATCTGACCAAAAACAAATGTGACWAGACAATAGATGACAGACACATGAGATGATATGCTTTTATTTTGGATAAATAAGACAAAAATACAAAAATTATTAAGCATTCAATACAATAGATAAAGAGATTTTCAATAAATGAACAGTAATAATTGCTTTAGTTTGAACTAAAATTAACAGATAATAATCATTTAGCCTCGTTAACCTGGATGTTTCTGTATGAGGTGCCGTTTTTAAAGCAGCTTGTGCTAAAAATATAACAACAGTGAAGTAAAAGCGAAATTTCGTCACTTTTCGCTTCAATGTAAAAGTCGTGAATTTTCTAGTTATATTTAGCACATTTAAATGGTTCAACTTAAATGTTAAAGCTAAATATAAATCTTAATATTAAATCTAAATATCAAATGGTAAAGTGGGGGTATTGTTCAAAATCAGCCCTTTTTTAGCTTTACATCATGTCATTCTATCATCAAAAAYAGTGTTGCTTTGATTCATTCGTGAATGTGAAATTCTTGAATCTCGTGGTAGACTTGTGGAGCTGTTTAAACGCTTGCTGGTACAAAGCTCCACCTATTTGTACAAAGCTCCACCCTAAACCTCAGTTTGTAATTTTCAGAACTAAAGCTAGCATAGTTACTTGATTGTGGTAAAGGGTTGAGCTATGTGCTTGGTAAATACACAAGGCATCCCCTTTAAATCTAATTATTAAATTTTTTWAACTAAATGTCAAATATTAAATCTAAATGTTAAATTTAAATAATAAATTTTAAATCAAATCGTTAAATCTACATGTGAATTTGTATGTTAGCTAAATATTTTTGTTTAAACAATGGAAAGACAGGCTACACACCAAGATTTAAGGTAAAAAGTAAAAGGTCCTTTAATAAAAGAATGGACCAGCCATTAAATGAGTTGCCTACCTGTCTATCCTGCTTTTGCTGTCGACGGAGCACCACCTGCACATCACCGTTCATTGTGAGCACCTGTGCACCTGCCAATCTGGTCTGTATCTATTTTTGTTTAAACATTTAGGATTTAGATTGAGCATTTAGATTTAAAGTTTATATTTAAGATTTAACACTTAGATTTAATAGTTGACATTTGGATTTAACATTTACCATTTAGTTTTTACATTTAAGTTTAAAATTTAGATGAAACAATTAGCATTGATTAAACATTTGTTTAAAATTTAACATTTAGCTTTTGGATTTAATAGTTGACATTTAGATTTAACATTTAACGTTGAATAAACATTTAGAGTTAACATTTAGCATTGATTAAACATTTATGTTTAAAACTTAGCATTTCAATTTAATGTGTGACATTTGCATTTACCATTTAGATTTAACGTTTAAATATAACACTTTGAATGTGCTAAAAGTTGATTTTAAAAAGTCCACACTACTATTTCAAACATTAAATCTAAATGTGAAAAAGTGTTGCTGTTACTTTTAGCACAAGCTGCTCTACAAACGGTGCCCAGTATGTCGGGACGTTAAATCATGGTTTGTGAGTCAGACTCTGGTTTCTCGGAGAATTCGTTTCGTCCACAAACACGCCCATCTTCACCAGCATTTCCTTTGGAATGGGTTGAGCGTGGCGGGAAACGAACACGTCCTTAAGACTTTTCGTCATGGGGGAGGGTTTGTAGTCGGTGCAGGAAGCTCCCGTCAGACTTGGAGCGCACCTGGCCTCCCATTTGATGTAAAGTCGGCCATGTTGCAGAGGGCACACATCCGTGTTAATACCGGAAACTAAAATCTTCTGGCACTCTCCCAGCAGGTCGTTGTCCCAGCCGCTGTCCTCGTCCCAAACCTCAAACCGGGCCGTGTTCCCAGAGGTCAGGTCCCTGGAGCCCAGGTCAAAAACTGCGTTCCAGTGTGGGTTGTTGTTGTTTTGGATCACACGGGTACGATGCACCTCGTTATCGGGGAGGATCACCTTCACGAAACCGTCTGTGGCGGTGGTGTGGTCCCCCCACAGACCCTCGGCCCTCTGTACTGTGATGATGACCCGGGCCGTGCCCTTGCGGGTCGGGCAGCAGTCCGAATTCACGGCCTGTTCGTTGTGGCACTGGCAGACGCAGGAGTCCTTGGAGTTGCTCTTGATCCCGGTCCTGCAGGGCTCACTGCAGTTCCTCCACAGGCCCTTCTCCAGGATGTAGTGGCTGATGGCGGCGCGGAGGTTCTTCCTGGCCGGATCCTTGACCGGCACCAACTCGTGGAGCGAGTCCAGCGTGTAGGAAATGATGTCGGGGTTTTGTGGGATGGAGTTCAGCCACTCTTTGTAGGCTGACGGGTTTTTGTCTGCAGAAAACAGGAGGTCTGGTTCTGTGGTAATGCCTCCCTTTGTTTCTGTGAATCTGTGAAAGAAATTAACTTTTAACAACCAAAACCAAGTACCTCAATCTGAAAATCAACTGTTTTACCCTTAGCAAAAAGTAGTATACTTAAAGTTCTTTTTAATAGCTACACTTGAGTATAAGTTTAAGTATATCAAGTATACTAGGCACCATGTACTTGTAGTGTACTAGAAACTATACTAATTTAATACTCGTTTGTACTAAATTGGGACATATTTAGTTTATAAAAAGTAAACTTTAAGTATGTCTCTGGTAAGTACATAAAAAGTAAACTGAAAAATACATATATATATTTGTTTAGAATTAGAATACTTAAATGATACTTTCATATACTACTTTTTGCTAAGAGTAAATCTGAGATTATAAATAAAACACAAGAGAAAACTTTAAGGATAGCAAAAATTAGTATACTCAAAGTTTGCTTTAATAGCTACACTTGAGTAGACGTTTAAGTATATCAAGTATACTAGGCACCATGTACTTGTAGTGTACTAGAAAGTATACTAATTTAATACTCGTTTGTACTAAATTGGGACATTTTTAGTTTATAAAAAGTAAACTTTAAGGATAGCAAAAATTTGTATACTCAAAGTTCGCTTTAATAGCTATACTTGAGTAAAAGTTTAAGTATATCAAGTATACTAGGCACCATGTACTTGTAGTGTACTAGAAAGTATACTAATTTATTACTCGTTTATACTAAATTGGGACATTTTTAGTTTATATAAAGTAAACTTTAAGGATAGCAAAAATTAGTATACTCAAAGTTCGCTTTAATAGCTACACTTGAGTAAAAGTTTTATATCAAGTATACTAGACACCATGCACTTGTACTAGAAAATGTACTGATTTCATACTTTTGTACTAATTTTTTTAATTTATAAAAAGTCTACTCCTAATACTGTTATGTCTTTTTAAGTATATCAACTTACCAAAAAGAAGTACACTATAAGTACGTGTCACTAAGTATACTAAAGTATGTAAAAGTGTATTTCCCTAAGTTTACTTTTATTTACAATTATAGTAGCAGTTTACTAACAAGTATACTTCCAGGACTAAATTGGGCCACAATAGGTTTATGAAAGTAAAATCAGAAGTATACTGAAAGTAATCTTCTAAGTATACTTTTAGTTAAATTTTGAAATATACTACAAATAAACCAGTCTGTGTGAAAATGTATTTTTAGTGTACTTCTAAAGTCTACCTTGGCCAAATGTTTGTTTAAACATTAGTATAGACTAAGTATACTTAAACTTTTATTATACTTTTAGTAAAAGCCAAGTACAGTGTAAGATAAAATTTTGGTTAAGTATGTCTCAGGTAAGTACATAAAAAGTTAACTGAACGTATACTCTTTATATATACATCCATTCATATTTGTTTAAAATTAGTATACTTACACGATACTTGCACATACTACTTTTTGCTGAGAGTAGATTTGAGATTATAAATAAAACACGACAGATTAGATATTTGTACCTGTCAGTGAAGCGATCAGAGAAAGATTTCTTGTTCTCCATCTTGTTCTCTTCCTTCCTGCAGTGCTTGGCTTCCGTCTTGACGTTAGCTTTGATGCTAATGGAGGCCTCGGCCTCCAGACACATCTGGACGTCCTCCACGCTGAGGCCCTGCAGGCTGGCCTCACACTGCCTGACGCTGGTGACGGAATCGATACTTCCGCCCAGCTTCACCTGGAACCACAAACACGTTCAGCTTCACCGTCCCTCCCCGCTGTGCTTCTTCTCAGCGTGAACTCACCTTGGTGACGAAATGCGTGCCGAAGTCTTTGATGAGTTTGTAAAACCGCGGCTTGTATTCTGGAGAGTAGATCTTGGGAAGCRTTTTCAAGGCTTTCTTGAATTCTCGGTGCAGCTTTGGAGAGCCCATCACCCTGTAGCTGTTTCCAGACGGCAGAGACAAACCTGTGAGGTTTGCATTTTCTGCGTTTTRTGCGAAAATAAAACAAAGACGTACCTGTAGTACTCGCAGGACATGCTGGTAGTTGCGAAGCTGAACTTGTCGTCCTTTGTTTTCTCCATGGAGTACTCCGCCAGCTTGGAGTGGGTTCCCGCCAGCATCACGGACCCGCTTTTGTCTTGAGTTTCTACTTCGAGGTCCGTCTTCCAGTTGTTCTCGACAGAAGAGGAGCTGGAGCTGACCAGGGACTCGCTGGATTTGTGGAGTTTGGAGGACACTGAAGCGCTGCAGGACTGCTTGGCCCTCCAGTCCACCACGGACAGGGGCAGCTTCTGCTTCCTGTTCTCCACGTAGGGGTTGCTGCACAGGGTGCAGGTTTTATCCTTACGCCTCCACTGGTTCATGTCGAGCACGTACGCTCCTTTACGCTCCATCTTGGTGATGTCRAAGCCCTCGCCAGCTAAATTAGACCCTGGAACAAACTCTGCTTCCTGACACTCTTTGGCTTTCCCCTCTGTGCACAGCTGGTCCGTGCACTGAGGGGAGAACAGAAGGAGGCCCATGCAGATGGAAAAACTCAACGGGATCATGTTGAAGATGATGCACTCTGAAAAATAAAGGTTTAACACAATGAGTCAAGCCYGTTCAAGATGGCCGCCACAATGAAACAGCTTTACTTCAGTTAATTTTACAGATGATAACCTGAAACAGGTTGTGGATGTAGAGCTTTCCTCAAAACAAATGTGAGCCACCACATCGAAATGAGGATTAAGTCAATTTTGTTCAAACTGACCAAATCATATTTTCAGATTCCTGGCTTTAAAGGCACAGTGTGTGGGATTTGTTGTTTTCAGCGACATCTAGTGGTTGAGTGGTTGAATCATCCTC